TTCCTGTAAATTATTTTGGTTGTAAAACCGTTCAATCTACCTTTAGCAAATTTGATTGTGGCGAGTTGTATTGTTACGAATTGCTCGACAGTGTATGAAATATTGGGGTCCGAATGTTGAAGACTATGTGATTGTACATCAAACTTCACATGGAAAACTGCATAGTCTGTTTAGCTGAGTTTTGGTGCTATTGTTCGTCGAGTCTGGGAGATGGAAAAGACAGGAGGGTGAATTTCAAACTTGATGTGATATTTTGAAAATTCTTTGCATTTTTCTCAAAAATATGCTACTCAGAGGTTTTGTGCTAGGGTGTTGTATTACCATGTATTTCAGATTCTTTCCTTCCAAACTCTATGTAAATTAATTTTGATTTCGATGCCTTGTAAATATTTTGTAATAATTGTCTAATAACAGAAATGTGTTTTCTAGTGGTATTATGAGTTTATTTTTTCATGGGGTTCTCTTTCAACCCACCATAATTTGGCGTATACTTATTTTCAAAGATCGTTTTTGCATTACATCATAACATGGTCAAGAACTACGACCTTGGCAACCATCCTTAAAAATGGCTCTCTCATGATACAATGCTAAGAATCGCATGACACATATGAGTCCATAGCAACTCACAAGAACAAAGCATTTTGGTGAATATAAACATTATTTTCCACAATACTATACATCTATAGTAACCAAATGCTACCATTTCAAACAAATAAAATCATAATTTCTTGACACATACCGTTTATACTTTGATTACACATTATAAGTTTCTTAACAACCACTGACATAGTCATAGCAACATCGGTTCAATTGCCTATTGAGCCAAGCCCAGCATTGCTGCTTGCAGCTATATTTCAATTTTAGTGTTGCAGTGAGATAAACATGTTTTCAGCATACTGCCACTTTATTTCGGTTCAGTGGGTTATGACCAATAATATAAACCAAATGAAATACGTTTACATCGATTAATTCTTTGTTTTTATTAGAAGAGAATTTATGTTTATATTTTATGTGTATTCATTTGTTGAGTGGAACTGTGGTTCAGACTTATTAAGACTAGTAACAGATAGTTACCATGTCATAACAAAATGACACGGTAAACGCATTTGACAATTTCAACCAATGTTCAAAGAAAAACGTATATTTTTCTCAATTCATTTCCATATACCGTACAGTGGCTTCATTGCTTAGTTAAGTTTCGAATTGTTGCGAAGACATTGTCGGTGTGTGTTTATTTATTTGTTCGTGGGCATAATATCGTACAAAGTTCAGGACAAATTTTCATGAATATTTGTGAATCTGCTCAACGCTTATATTAAGGTGACTCTATTTTATATCCTATACTACGTTACTTGAAATCGTTTTCAATGCTTTTAATATATTCTTGGAAACATCAACATTATTATGAATGTTGAATGCTTATATTATAAGCAGGGTTACTAAAATGAGAGCAAGGAACGAAACGAGATATATTTAGTATCCTTCGTTATGACTGGGTAAATACCGGCATGTCGTCGACAAAGGCGCTTTATCCTTAAGGAAATCAAGAGAGGATTTATTAAGGCGTGCTTGTCAGTCATCTTCTGTATAGAAGAAATGTCAGCTCACCAGTCAATAAATATTCGTCTACGAAGGGCCGTACGTAGGCGTTGACATTGGGTTTCTGATCATGCAGTGTGGGGGCGTTGTCTTGGTGGCTCATTTATAACATATTATGTACATCCAACGCCTTATGCAAATATCCTATATTTAAACGGGAATTGTTTTACATTATACAATATTGTAAATACAGAGCAGTGGAGCATAGCTCTTCATCACCTCTTACCGATATAGTAGCATAATCCAAAAAAAGACGTTGGGAGAATTGACATTGCTGTATTTTCTGTGTCGAGTGTTATTATGAGGTTACAAACGGTACGCTCGAGTATTTGGTAGCAGATATAAGACCTCTTTGGTAGAATTTGCATATTTGCCGGGGAGATATATTCGCCACCAAATACCCTCGCTTGCCGTTTATAGCCACAAGATGAATAACATATACGTTTTTACCATTGCAGAATATCCATCCTTCACTTGTTGAGGGTGTATGCCATGCAATGCACATTTCAGAGTACAAATGCACATTATTTTTAAATCACCAAGAAGTCACGATTTAAATTCATTGGCAAGATTCGAATTAAAAAACAACCATCTGTATCCACACTGATAGATGCAATTTACAAGTCTATTCATTTTTTTGGGACAATTGTCAAGGAGATAATACAAGTCACCCAGCTCAAAATAGTTTATCATGCGCAATACATACCATTCTTATCAAACTCAATCAGGTATCACGGCAACGTTCTAAGGTTTACGTGTTGTACAAGGATTAGATCATTGTTAGCTACGTCATACCAGCGAATTAATTGGGACTGTACGAATTCTTTGGCCACGTAAACCATCAGTAGATATCAGCTGAATGTTAGTAGATTAGTAGGTTACCTAGTTAGCTACGACACTGACTACGGAATATAAAAGTGATCCTGTTTATTGAAGCGCGGTTGTCGTTGTGCAGCGCGTGCTCGAATTTCGTGTAAACAAACAATGTATTTTACACGCGTTGTATGCGTCGCTATGAGTCCCATATCGAACACGATACGATGCGCCCTTTAAGTACTTATTTTACTGAATGCAAGAATCAGCGTGTTAACCTACATGCAACATGGTCCATGGAATCAAAACCCATTTTAGTTACGCAGTTTGTTATGGAGCAGTTTTGTCTATAATATTTGCATTTCTCAAATATCAGGTGATGATTGAGCACTTTTTATTCAAACGTCTCTCTAATTATTTATACGTACTTTAGTTTATAGAAGTTAATTTATGGCTGCGTGGCGAATGATCCACTGCTCTTGGTAAACCCAGACACATATTAATGAATTTGTCATCGAACAACGCCGGCTATGGAGGAGCAGCACCTGTGAAACTACACACGATTAAATGCGAACGTCACATCGGTAGAATCCTACCTTTGTGCCACTGATTAGAAACGTGCTAGAGCATATTCGCCATTGTTGTGTGTGTTTGTCTCTCCTAATTTATCTGGTTACAGTCGAATCGTACAAATAGTGGTAATTAGTATATTGAATGCTGTATCTTCAATCACGTTATTTTAATGATCTGCGATTGAATTTATGATATACCCGCTCGGTGTATCGCATGTATACAATGCAATTATAGTGTCAACGCTCATCAACTTACTAGAATCCTTAAGTGAGTTATACAAGACGAAATATAATGATAACACACACTTATTAAATGCAACTGATGCAGATAAAATAGGTGTCCCTGGTGCGAGGGGTAGTTGTCAAGACTCTCGGTAGAATGAGCAACTGTGGCAACAGGGAGACAGCCAGTTTCCACTAATGATTATGACACTAGTTGGTCCAAAGTAATGCATTTTAAAAGGGGACGTTTCGGTCAATTCATCCTTATTAAAGATGAACACAATGAGTCACTCCCGCGCTGCTCTCCAACTACTTATCTATTAATCCGAGCCTAGAACACAAACGCTTTCACAAAATGTAAAGACGAATAATAAAAAGTGTCAGCGTGAAAACACCCAGGACTGTTTGTATTGTCGTAATCTTCGTCCATATGTATGCATCGCGGCAAGTGCTTTCCAGTACGGAATATGTATATTTTATAACCACGTTAGGTGGTGTTATTAATATTAATGGTGCCTGATAAAGTATGCTCACCTAGGGGATACTCATGAATCATGTATGCCCCCACAGTGTTTTGTCCAATAGGAGGCTGATATTTAATTGTCGACTTTAAAAACCAATAACAGAATTTATAAAAAAAACGGCAGTTAGAGTTAGTAGTCATAGCATTGCACAGAGCAGGAGGTGGAACATCAACATTTGTAACTTTGCATAAGTTTAGATTTGCATCAGACATTTTGAAAATGAGGACGTCGCTTGCACTTGCTGTTACAGTTCTCGCTATTGCGATTTTATTTTCAAATGCAGAGAGTAATTTTGTGGTAAGTATATCCCACCATATTTTCAATTTCGCACAACGTCTCGCGTATGTGAGATTTTCCACTGGCTTATACTTTAATATACATTCAACGGTTTCAATTTTCTAATCGATTGTGCTCAGGTTAATCAATTTAATTCAAATATTAAATTTGCATTCACGTAACATTATATGTGACGCAATCGCGGTAGAAATTATTTAAAAATAGCGTGCAATATATCTAAGATCTTATTATTTCGGTACTCGGAGAATAATCATCAGAATTACAATATTGTTATTTCATGAGAAACATTCTCCGTAATATGAATGTCTGTAATTTAAGCAAAATAATTACTAGTATCTTAAAGAATGCCACGATTAATAATTGAGTATTCGTCTTTGTACTTTCGATCCGCCGGCAGAATTAACAAGACAACGTGTAACTATTATTCTAACTAAGCGGACAAGGCTTTTGACAAACAACGCACAAAAATGAAAAATAGCAACTTGTTGTTGAAAATTCAACAGAATAATTATTTAAGTCTGTGTTTAAAAGTTGTATTATTACGTGATGTATCAATGTTTCCAAATGTTCATTTTACGAGTAACATTGCTAGCGTTATTCATTCGTTGCCCTTGTGTATATTGTATATTTCTGAACCGTTGTCCACTCCGCAATTAGCTGGTTAATTACACAGGTGTATTTAGCAGAGAATTGAATAGCATAACAGGTTATATATATGTATTACTATTGAAACAGATTTAGCATACATAACACATACCATACGTTTGCATGAGCTTGGAATATTAATTCTTCAAATTGAAAACCGTTTCGTATTGTAATAAGCATTGTAAGACTTCAGCTCATTGAATTGAACAATCACAAAACAATGTTGCCATAGGTTACATATTTGTATCGTATTATTATCACGTTTATGCTTTTTCCTACACAGTTCGTGCATGTACATTGCCATTATCATTCCTTTGACACTACTTCCTAAGCTTTATCCCTAATGTCATGTATATATATTGCGTGTATTTTGCAATCAAACAAAATTGCTTCACAATTCATGTTCGTGATTGTTTGTCAAATGAGCTTATTCGCGTCTTATGTATGTAATTTGACTTTAAATGAAACACTAAGTAAGCAAACTACTGCAATGGTATGCACATACTCCGATTAATGCTTCATTTTGACTCGAATGTCTGGTTAGTTTAAATTTACTTGTAGGAAAGCGATATTGATCCATTTTGTTTTTCTTTGCTGCTTTACAGGGAAACTCTGGATCTAAAGGTATTCCGGTAAGTCTATTTAACATTAAACGGTTTTTGCCTCTTCTTAGCCTCCACATTCATGAATTATGTTGATAACTGTAAATTCATGATGGATTGTCCGCTATGAACTTAATCATTATTTCATATATTGACGTTATCCACAATGCGGCTAATCAATCCAATGAGAAAAAAAGGTAGAATACTAATAGAAATTATTAAAAAAATACAAACTTTAGTTAATTCACAGGGAATAAAACGTAAGAATGGTACCTTCATCTGGCAGTTGATTATTATTCGAATACCATGAGGTATTCAATCTTATCATCTGCATACTAGATAGCGATGTACCGTAATACTTCTTCTTTTATCGGTTTCATGGCGCTGAGAGCCATCATGTATGTACATGTAGGACAGAGTGACTTTCGGGACACGACGTAGCGCAATATAAAATAGCAAAACACGACTTCGTTCTGTGTGTATACATTGATGTCATACATGCGCTAAGTTATATGTGACATTACTGAAAGAAGACGGTAAATGACGAAGACATGGCTTTTTAGCAGTTTAACTCATTATATGACAAAATGCTATGAATGACTTGATTAAAACGTTAATTAGATTTATAATTAAATTGTCAATCAAGATTATAGGGACACCGAGTCTGTTAAATGGTAATCTATATTCAGTTGGAAGGATTTCTGAAATTACCTACATCAGATTATTTGAAAATTATTTTTTATCAACCACGTATGCTCGTTTTATACTGTGATATGATAACTTGAGGATTATACCTATCTGAGCCATCTTATTTACATGACAATTACCAAAGCGCAACTAATTATACCACGTGAATATTTGTTACATTAATTTAGTAGATACATGGTCGTATAACAATGGATGTATTTATACTACTATATCTGTTACTAACACTTTCAGTCAGTTTGTTAATTCTGGGTCCGATAGAATATAACTATTATCTGATATAGTGATATAGAAAGCACCGTATATTATTTCCTATCAGATGTCAACATTGTTAAATGGATCATTTAATTATTTTGTTAACTGGATGTGTATATGTATTTATATTTATTTCGTATCATCATCGCTATATGTTACTATTTTAAATAATTAATACATCTTACTACCTTGAAATACAGATAAAATGAGGGCAAATCTAGCCAATGTTAGCATCGGTATTATATGGTATGTATAATTCAAGGTCGTAAACTATGACCGTTTTACGACACTTGTTGATTACGACACATTATGTTTTGTGAGTAGAAATGAAACAGTTTATAGCACTATTTTGCATGTCTTTGCAAATTACGGGCGAACATTTTTGAAGAAATTGAAATTTTTAAATAAACATTTCGGCGCCGAACCCCGCTCGCGACTATAAACATCAATTTGTGCTACTGCATACACTCATGAATATTCAAATTATAGATTCCAAATGTAGTAAGTGTGTTGAATGTTTATTGTGGCTGACAGGTTTGAATCAATGAAAATGATATACTATGAGTATGTAATAAGCTGCTGCTTTCGGCAATATGGAAAACGTGTGATTACCGGTATGGTAAATGTATGCATACACTCTTGATATCGCATATACCTTCTTGTGAAACAGATCGAAATAATTACAAATTATAAGAACAGTCGTATAATACTGTTCTAACGTTTAATATTGATGCACAGAATAGTTAAAGGCACTCTCGAATCAAACCGGAGATAATTATCATGTTCTAAGTTACACCAGCTTTAGTTGTACCCGGTAACTAAATCTATATATATAACTCGTAATCTTGCGTTCATATCAGCGTAATACTGGGTAATGTCACAAATGCACTGGCTTGCAGGTAGTCAATATTTCCGAGGTTCATGCTCTTTAGTTTTTGAGTATGTTCCTTTGACCAACAGTTTTTTTTGTTCATGATTTATGGACGAGGAAGGCTTGTTTTTCACACATGAATCAAGTGATTAATATTTGCATATCGTTGCCATACAATATAGGAATATCTATCCACAGCCAGATAACTAAAAGCATATAAAAAATGCATGACTTGTTTCAAAGAAATTGTCCTTCAGGAAAAGTGTTGCGTATGTCAGTCCGTCACTTCGAAACTGACTTGTTTTTGTTAAACCCTATTCATGATAAATACAATACATTGCCATTTTCTAAGGAGTGTTCTCTCAGTGTGACCCCATGCCTTGATAACAATTTTAATTGTGGTGTAAATCATTGACGACTTTGTATTACACGAGTGATTTGAACTGACGACTTTTTTAACATTTGATAGAACGTCAATATGTAAATTCATCTTGTCAATGGAAACTCAATCACACTATGTACCGCCCTGATAGTCATAAAACGAATGTGAACGTGGGACCATTGTGATACTTGTACAAAGACATGCATATGTTTTGACCTCGAAACACATCGCTGATTAATATATGCTTTTAAATATTCATACTGTCATAAATGAATAAATTGCCAGGGATTGTAAGTGACAACGAATGAATTGAATAATGCTATTAAATTAACGACTCTTTTGCATTATTGATCGAGCTTTTAAATAGTGAATATACATGAACTGGTCTGGAACAAAAGCGTGCAATGCATGGATGGGCGCAAGTCGTGGCTCATTTACTATTTAATAGACAATTTCACATGTAAAACTACCTGTTGAATACCAACCCAAAGCGAGATTGTCCGTATAGGCCTGTCATGTAGTCCAACACACGAGTTACTTATATGAATTCTTGACCAACCACGGCCATAATGAACTGTTATTCAATGTGTATATATCAACGAACATATTGAAATAAGTATGGTCGAAAACAGAAGACAATTAATTTCACTGTCACAGTGATTTCTTATTTCAATACTCGTGCGATATCCCGAAATCTGCATTAGACCACGCAAATTGTAAGTAAAAGTATGCTACATAAACGGGAATGTGTTTTGTGACGGAGATTCTAGCTTAAGATTCATTAAACTTGATTAATAATTACGACCTAGTAGAAGTGCCTTCAAGTTGAATTGTTACCACGGAGTCGGTCGTCAATATTTGCCTTTTTGTTTCGGTACACAATGCTCACCTGTAATCTGTAATTGCGATTAACGACTCCGTTCGCCAGTTTCTCATAGAAAGCGACAGACATTATATTGGTTACTTCCAAATTGTAACGCTATAAATTCGTCAGGGTGAATGAAGTAGAGGTAGGAATATACCCGCGGCATTTACAGTAAAACAACAAAGTTCCCAATATGAGAAATAAATGTTTGAATTTATAGAACAGTAATTGAAAACTAAATGCATTGTAGCCTAATCGTTGACACAATAGGAGATTTACTGCTTCTTTGATTGTTCTATAACTGTGTCTATGCGCGATAACACATACGGCTGTAAATTGAAAGAAATCCTCCATGCAAGAATAAGACTATTAAGGAATAACTGCCTCTTTCAATATTGTTAGAAGCTACAGAATGATGATATTTTAACAAAATTAATCTGTTCAGCGCCAGCCACCCGACAGGGCAATGTGCGTGCGCACCTCGCAGCAAGCACCTCACGTTACCTCGGAGGTACAGTTTTTTTTCAAATAGAGCTTTTATGACGTCAATCATCTCTTATAGTTTTTACATTTTGAGATCGACAAAACATTGACTAATGTTAGAATCAGTTACATTGACATTCATAACTATACGATTCTACCGGCGTTGGCATTTGTGTGAGGGTCAGATAGGGTCAGATACAAGTAATGTACTAGCCTTAAGCTTGTTGGCATCGTGAAAGGCAATTGCTACTGTTGTTTGTGTTAATTCAGTTGAGTATGTTGGTTTTAAATCGTTAATTCTAATAGAATTGGAAGCAGCTGTATTGTTAGTGGTAGATAAATAGCGCCCGTTAAAAGGTGCGTACCATCAACACATTGTTGCAAGCCAGTAACCTAGATGTTATGTTAAAGTTGTCTAAACTGTATTCGATATCAACCAGACACATTGAGCGTTTTTTTTACTGTGATCTTTCAAGCGTTATCACCGTGACGGCCCCGTCAATTACACTATGTAAGTTCTAATATATGGTATACTATTCCCTCCATATCTTTTCATTTAGAAGATTGCTACCGCATACTGTCAAATCACCATTAGTCATCGCTCCTTATCATGAGAAATAAATTGTGATGTTTTTAACAAAATATCGCTTCCGGACTTAATATTAATTATTGTATAAAATGAATTAATACATCTATTGATAATACATGTGATAACATTTTACCCGTATTTAAAAGTAGTAAGATGTATTAATTATGTAAGAATAGTAACATATAGCGATGATGATACGAAATATATATGAATACATATATACATTCAGTTAACAAAATAATTAAATGACCCATTTAACCATGTTGACAACAGATAAGAAATAATACACGGTGCTTTCTATACCAGATGATAGTTATATTAAACACGTCCTATCCGTGGGTTGCACAGCACTAACTATCAAGTAACGTTATCGCAATATGAATACTAGAGATCACAAGTCACCAGAGTTGTGTGTGCATTTGATTTTAATACTTCTGTAGTTATTTATATGTGATGGGATCATGGCTATTTACAAAGTGGTGGTGGATTAGTGTTCGGATTTAGCGCATACTGTGTGGTTCAACACTCAGTTCTCGTTTTAATTTTTGCATAGGAGTGTCTGCGTTAATGATAGGTCGCATGTACCCCTCTTATTATTAATACGGGATCGATGATTCGATGTTTGCATCCATAGTTCTCGGCATTTAGGTTGCTGTAACAAGAACTAAATTAATTGCAGTGAGACGCAAACCAAATGAGTCTCTTCTGGATAAAGTCCACTTTTTATGCTGCCAATAACAAGAGACGATTGCTTGAAATAATTCACATAATAAATTTTAAATTATATTATATATAGTTTTTGGCCAACTTAACAACATGGTCGTAAATCACAATTACGGGCTATTATTCATCAACCATGCATTTCTAAGCACGCAGTGTG